TTAATTTAGTTTTCCCTATTAAGGCACAATATTTATTATTTATATAGAGTTAGATCCCACCCTATCTGAAAGGCTCAGAGCAGCTAAGTGACAAACATACTGAAGCGACTAACATAGACGACATGGTAGTTTGTAATAGTAAACAGAAACAGCATTACCTTTAAATCTTTTCTGTTTGTCCCTGGCCAGTTTTATAGCCAAGGCCAGTCCAATTCCTGAGGAGCAACCTGTAATGAGTACAGTTTTCTGAGCCATTACTTCAAGTGGATGGTAGTTACAACGAGGATTCTTGCAGACCCAAGGAGCTACAACTAAAATATTGTGACTGAAGCTTAATGGTACTGGTTATTAATGCTTTAGTTTTACTGAGTCAACAAATCTGAAAATGCACACCTAGACATTGTATGATTAAGAGGGATAATCTCCAACTGGAAACAAACAGGATCACATCCTTCTGCATGAATCTGTACATCTGAACCATCAATATAGAGCACATGAAATGCAAAAACTGCATTAAACTTAAAATTTTGTAAGTTAATTGTCCAGAAAAAATTTAAACAGCTGAACAACTGGGCTGCATGTACTTGGTCACAGAAGTTTCTACTTCCTGCATTCCTATTTTGCTGCCACTACTACAGCCCTCATTGGAGTTGTACCTATCAGTTATGTAAGTGAGGGGTGAAGGTCAGTACCCAAGAAGTGCTCCATGCTGCTATAAGGAAGACCCTTATGAAGAATAGCTCCCTGCTCTTAAGGGGATTCAAGCTTTCTTTTTTTCTTGCAAGAGAACCACACTTGTATTACAGTCAAGGCTCTCCATAAATACAGAAGTGGGGGAAGATTTTGCCAAGAAAACAATCAAGGACTTGATACTATTGAATATTCACAACTAAAAGTTCCAATAGAATTGTAGAGTTTCTGGAAGTGAAATGGAAAAAAAGGTTAGTTCTGAAAGGGGGCAAAGAAATGTCAGGAAGTGCCTCTGAGAGACTCCTCAGGGTTGTGTTTGGTTCTGGTCTTGCTCTCACAAAAATATATTTCCATACTTACTCGAATACAAGATGACTCCTCAATAATTAGATTCTATACATGGAAAGATTATAAATTTGCTGTAATTTGCCAGCTATAAAACCTAAAAATGGAAGGGCTGTCTTAAATCCCACCCCACAGCTACAGCACAGAAAACAGTGGCGGGTGGGCGGGGGGTGGGAAGAGGGTTGGGAGGGGGTCAGGTGGCACACTTGCCCTTTGTCCCACCCATTTTCCCCCCTGCAGCCTTCCTGCTCCACCACCTGCACCCCCAAACTTTCAGCTCTCAATAGCTTCTTCCCCCCAAATTCCTCCTAGTCTCTACCTCACCCCCACCCTGGCAGACACTTCTTGGGCTGCTCCATCCAGGAGCACAGCATATGGAAGCTCAGCCTTTGCCTGCCCAGGCGGCAGTGTCAGGGCTTGTGCTCTGAGCTAGGGAGACCTCAGCCCCAGTGGGAGCCCAGCTGCACCTGAGAGTCAGGGAGAGTGAAGGGAGTTGGCTGGGCAGAAGCTGCAGAGGGGAAATGGGGGGTGAGTCAGGAGGCTGTTGTGGGTCCAGTGGGCCCTCACCAGAGCTCAGTCAGAGCCACGGCAGCCACCTGCTTCCCTGTCCCCTTCCTATGGAATATAAGACAAGGGGCATTTTCCCCATGCTGATTGGGAAAAAAAAACCTCAGCTTATATTTGAGGAAATACAATACTATTTTCCTTTATGTTTGAAGCTTTTACTCATATTATTTTAAGCCTGCCTCCCTCTGGCCTATGAGGCTCTTCAATGCTTTTACATTTTTAAATTATTTTAAATTACTATTATTAATTTAAAAACTTATGTAAGACACTGGTATTGAGATAAATATGTGACTATATAATTAAAATTAGTGGAATATCTGATGTTAAGAAAGCTGATGGGAAAAGATCATAGAAATTAGGACATATCAAGCCAGAGACACCTTGTTAGAGGGAAGAGGGGGAATGTTCACAATATACCATGTTTGTCATACAGATAATCCCTTTGGTACCACTTGTTCTAGGGAGTTGTATTTTCTGCAATATCAGCAGGATCAGAGTGAGAAGGGATCTTTTTTTTTTCCCTAATAAGGGGCACGGAAATCATGGAAAGGGTCGCAAACAAATAGGCATCCTAAGAGTCAAGTGAGGGATGGGATCTATAGCTTAAAGTGAATCCTTGGCATCCTTAAAAGTACTAGAAAGTCTTTTAAAATATTGTTTTTTGTTAGTGATTGGGCTTAAAGAACTCAGGGAGATACCTTGGGGCCCTATCCAAAGTTTTTATTTTGATATCAAGAAAAATAAGTACATTGCACCCAAACAGCACCGGACTGGAAAGTTTTAGAGCTGAATTCTTCCAAAGTTGGGTGGCATTTGGACATGGGTCCACCTTTAATGTTATATATGCATAGTTAATAAATATGTAACACATCAGTAAGAAATGAAAACTTAATCTCTTGTGCAATTTTTCTTCAGCTGTACAAAACCAACAAAATAAGTCATGAAACTTCTGAATGACATCCAGCCAATTGCAATGCTATTATACACGTCGAATATTTATAAGAATCTCAATAAGCTGTTTTGTAATACAGTTCAGAAACGTGTGCTTAATGTTCCAGTATTTTACTAACCATTTTACCTCTGCACACAGGGAAATGGTTTATTGAAATTAAGTAAGATTATGGTTTGACATAATGGATTTCCTTGGTTTGCACACCAATTAAAAATACATTTGCTAGTGTATCAAGCAGAATAATTAACTTTTTAAACAAACCACATTGTTTGAAATTGACAAAACATCCAAAAGTAGTGAGATGAATGGAATTACGATTCAATTTAACTATAGGTCTTGATCAATGGCTTCAGCAGAGAAACCAACATCCAGATAAACAATTTCCATTTAGCTGATTCAGTTATTAGGCAAAATGTTTCTGCTGTTCATGCACATTTATATTTAGCACATGAAAGATGGGGTAGCTAGGCCTTATGTAACATATGTTGATGGAATTCTAATAATGTGATAATGTGACTGTGATTAACGGTGGGTTGGGTTAGGCCTTCCACTTGAAATCCTGGCTTGAGGGGTTTAACATTTACTGTTCTGCTGTTTTAAAGATTGAGTGAACTTGGTGCACAATTTTTTTTTTTACTCCTGCAGGACAACTCTAGAGGAAAGATTTTAAAAAATGATGCTGTTATACAATAGAGGAATATAAGGCTTGCTTAAAAAGAAGTACAATAAATGCAGTTATTTTCAAAATTAAATTAAGTGTTTTTGCTACACTGGATAATTTCAAACAACCAAAGTCAGTCACGCACATTCGGAACTGTAGAAACATGTACTTTATAATGAAAGCATTTAGACCTTGTCTGTACTAGCAAAAATTAGTTAACCAAGTTTGTAGCACTGCTTGTAATGGACTAGTTGCACTGGAGGAACAAGTTTTCATGACACTGAATAAAAATGATTATGCACTATCTAGCTAGCTACTTACTGATTCATCTGCACAACTGCTGAAATACAGGATCCTAGTCCTACATACACCCTTAGCATGGTGAACATGCAAATTTGGGCCTTAAATCTTTAAACAGCACTATATTATTTTCTGTTCCTCTTGTATTAGTTTTAAAATACTTAATACTTTTCAACCTAATAGCTTTGCTAACATGTTTTTCATGCAAGTACACTATCTTGCCTCATACAATATACCAGTAATATAATCTAATATCAAGCTTTGGGATCTTAATTGTGTAAATTCAAGATTGTATACCAGAAACAGATTTAGTGTCCTTGAATTCATCTCACTCTCACCTTTCATCCCTGCACCTGTATTTTTAACACGTGTTAGAGGGTCACCAGCGAAGCATTTTTCATGGCTGAGGGGGTAAGGAAAAAAAAGTTGAAAATTATATCAATTGAAAAGAGGAAGGACCTCACTAAGTTTCAAATGTGATAGATTGTGAGTGGTTTGTGCATCCTCTCTAAATCATCATAAGATGACATCATACCATGTGATTTAGAAGCCGTTTCATTCTGGGGTAAAGTGTTCCAGTTTAGCTTCACTTATTGTGGAACAGGAATAGATGCACACAGTTCCATAGGATAAGCTAACGTAGTCATGAGGTCTAAGTCCCCTCCCTCTTTTTAAAATTCTGCAATTGTTTGATCTGTCTGCAACCTAAGGGTATGACAATTGATGTGACAACAATACCAATATAATCTGTTAAAATGTAACTGTTATGTCTGCATAATTCTGTAGTGATCCAACTAGCAAAAATGCTCCAACTTTATTCCTGGTTCATTCAGAGCCAAAGTTAGGGTGATTTAGTTCAACCCATAAGCCAGATGAGTAGCACAGGACCAGTCCACAGGCCAGACAGCGTGAGGCTATCCCTGTGGTTCAGATAAGGCCTACAGCCCCTCCCCTTCCCCACACTCCCGCTCTCCCCTCTGTATACCAGATCCAGAGCCCATTCTGGCTACTTTGGGACTGTGCTCCAGCCAGATGGGGTCCTACACTGCAAATGGTACCCCCACCCCAGACCCGTCAGAGAGGATGCCACACTCAGATCATATCCTGGACCAGCCAAAATAGGCATCAGATCCAGCATGTAATGGGTGGGTGGGGGAGAAGAGCGAGGACAACCCAGACTGGCCTTGCATTGATGCTGTGTGCACAGTGGACTCCAGAGTAGGTACTATGTGTGGCACATGTCCAGGACCTGCCAGGTAAGCATCACATCCAGGTCTGGGACTGAATGATGGGGGTTCCAATGGCCTTATCCTTGACACCCTTGATTTAGCTAATTTGTATTGCTACAGGATCATGCAGACCTAACAGTTGCATTATAACAGCTGTTGCATGCTCCAGAGCAGCAGCCCTCCTCCCCCTTTTAAATTGGCTAAAAAGTATGTCCGTGACTTCAGTTGTGTGATATTAAAAAGAAGCAGCAGCTGCAAAAACAATTTATTTTATTACAGTTTATAAAAATGAGATACATACTTGTTTTTACTGAAATGGAAGCTTTTTCATGGGCTTCAGCTGGAGAAGGACCAAGTTCCGAGAGTATGGAAGTATGCAAATAACTTATTGTGGAAGTAAAAAGAACCAGGGCTTGACTGTGTCAGTAGGCCATGGTAAAAGCCCAAATGTACACATTCTTACCCTGCCATTTACTAATGGAAGCTAAGCCATAGTGGGTTACCCTGTTTTCACTGAGGGCACACCTTCTCCTTACCACAGAATTAGACCATAAAAATGGCCAGTTACTGCAGAATTCTCCTTAGCACTTATTCTACAGTAAATTGTAAATGAAACTATTTGTGGTAGCAAGATTTGTCATAGTGATGTTTATGATCATAACTGAATAGTATGATTAAGTCTAAAGCAGTGCTCTAGGTTTTGGCCACCCAGCAGACAAATAGCATGGGGCCAGTCTGCAGGCCAGCTCAGACCCTGCGCCATGCCCATGTACCAGGATTGAAGTTTGGGGCCCTGCTCCATCCTGAGTGCTAGGATTGGGCCCTGTGCACCAGATCGTACACACAGAGCCATGGCCACGGGGCTCCCCATGGACCTGTGGTGAGCCCTGTGAGCCAGATGACATGGCCCAGTGTCTGGATCTGGCCCACAGACCAGGGGTTGAGAACCCCTTGGTATTTGTCACCTTAGTGGAAAAAATTTTCTTATTAATGACAATTCATTTACAGTATAAAGAAAATAAAGTTTTTAAACATCTAATAGCACTTTTAAGTAGAAATTAGATATAAAAAGAGTAAGGGAACTGACTAGAAAGCTGTAGTAAATCTGGATAATTTATATTTATCCCCAGAACTCAATAAAACCTTAAAAAATAAGTTTATTTCCAAAACAGAATTACTATACAAATTTCAAAACAATAATAATAAATTTAGAAAAATAAAAAGGTTGCAATTTTCAGCCAACATAAATACACTAAAATATATACACATGACTATATTAACACTCTCTCTTTGAATTCTATGTTGTGCTGGAAATAATTCCACTTATGGCTTTATTGCTCATCAGACCGATGGTATCTTTTCTTCTTAATCTTTGTCCCTCCTGAAATAATAATGCATATTAGAGATATTTTTAATATGAATCTTTCTTTCAAATTTCTTATTTAATCTGTCATATCAAAAAGCATTTGTACAAAGATAATAGCAGTAATCTAGCTTTCATTTTTGTTCTTTAAAATTAGCTCTTTTGTAAAATGGACCAAATACAAAATAAATTAGCTATGGTTTTAAGTCCATGGTCTTTTTGTCATAGCATGAAACTTTGGCTAGAATCATTAATGGATCTTGATTGTCATAGCTTCCACCATTGCAAGAGACACCAATTGCTGAGTTTAAAGTAGTTTACAATTTATTTTTATTAAAAATGGGAGGAGTTCAGGGGGACGGAAGGGATGAAGGAGTCCATGAAAAAGGTCTCACTCATATGAGACCCACACTTTGGATACAGTTTGGAACCCCTGCAAATCTTAACATTTCTTATGTAAACAGCCTCACAATTAAATTAAGAAATACCTACCCTACCACAGAAGCATGTGCTTGATTTTCCTTTGAGTTTGCATTAAGTGATACATGTGTAGAAGCATTTTCAGATTTCCTCATTTCCTTGTTGATGTATTTTAGCATTCCACTAAGAGTTTGGAAGTCATTACAGTCAGAAGCTATATCTTCATCTAAAACATATGTCAGGGGATCAAATGAGGATTCATTCAATCTATTTGTTGTATGAAAAAAGTCCTTTTGACTGTCTTGAATCACTGAAGACTGTAACATCAGTATTTGTTTGAAATCCTCTAATGTGCTTTTTGACAGATCTAGCGAATCGCTGTCTTTAACACTTAAGTCACTAGCACTTATAGATCGACGTAGTTTTCTATGTTTAAAATATGAAGCATGAGAGTGTCTGGAAGAATCCTGTTCTTGATCACTGAACAATGCATGAGTTGATAATATGAGAGGGATTGGTAGCTGCTTGATACCTTCTGTTCGTTCATGCCCAGCAATTCTGGTTTGTAATCTTGTTACTTGAGATTCCTACAGTTTAAAAATTAAACAAATATTTTTTAAAAATTCTAACACCAATTAAAACTATCTTCTATACTACGTTCCATGTGTCAGGCTCACCCTGCTAATTTCTGTATCAGCCACTGCTGACAACATGATCATCCTGCCTATCATTCAGCCATATAACCTGAATTTGCATGTTCAGTCTACATCTAAGTCCTGACGATTCTTTCTACATAACATCTCAAAACATGCAACCCTCTATCCACCTATACAGTAGATCCTAATGTCATGCATCCATTGCTTTTAACACATCAGTGACTTGGACGAGGGGGTAAGTAGCACCCTGTTCAAATTTGCTGATGACACTAAGATGTGGGGGGATGTGGGCATGCTAGAAGGGAGGAATAGGCTGCAATTGGACCTAGACAGGTTGCAGGGGTGGGCAGATGAGAATAGGATGGGATTCAACAC